ATGATCCGAGGCAATTTACGGGACAGACAGATGCTTTGCCCTGAAGGAGTGTCTTTATATTATTCATGTGTGAGACAGATGTGAGTGTGCTTGTTGGGGAAAGGGGTGTGTGTGTGTGTGTGTGTGTGTGTGTGTGTGTGTGTGTGTCTGTGTCTGTGTGTGTGTGTGTGAAATCAGACAACAACCTTTAGGATTTGGTCCCTTACCTTTCAATCTTGTTTGAGATAGTCTCTTTGCCTCTGTGTAAGCCAGGCTAGCTAAAGAGTCTCCTGTCTCCACCTGCCATTTCCCATAGGGAAAATAGATGTTTACACTACTGTGACTGATTTTTACATGGGACCTGAAGATCTGAACTCAGTCTTCTGGCCTGCATAACAAGTGTTTTTATGCACTGGGCCACCTTCCCAGTCCCCCTTAAGGAGTTTACATATGCACACAGAGGTTGGGGAACACTTGCTACCTGGGCTGAAAAACCACAGAAGAAGCCAAACCAGAAGTGGACCATGGTGAAAGCGAAGTTCTTATAGAAGAAATAGCAGAGGAACTTGCACATGCGCAGGTAGGACCAGCGCCCATGCACCAGCAGGAGGCGCTGCAGGAACTTGAACTGTGAAAAGGAGTAATCTGACGCCAGGACAGCCTGAATCCCTTCCTGTCCGCTGATGCCGACACCAATGTGAGCAGCTGTAGAGAAAAAGGATGACAAAGCATGAAGACAGTCGTCCACTCCAGACTGCACCGAAGGCCAGCCCTCCCCTGTCACTGTCCCCTGGTCCTGAGACCTCAGTGATGGCGGCCCTGCAGCCCTCCTGCCTGGCCCACACTCACTTTTAATCATGCTGACATCATTGGCCCCGTCCCCAATGGCAAGCGTCACAGCCTTCTTGTACTTCTTAACTAGTTCCACTACTTGTGCCTTCTGCAAGGGCGTCACTCGGCAGCAGATGACAGCTTTGCAGGCACATGCTGTCTCCAGAAATTCTAGCTCCATGTCAGCCTCCAATGCATGGGCCTGAAACAGAGAATAGAGAGAAATAGCCTTCCCAGAAAACCAGCTCTTCGTGCCCTTGATGACCACAGCCTCCCTCTCTGAAGTCAAGGGAGGTTGAGAGCAAGATAAGATGCAAAGGCTGTACTGAGCTGAGTAGCTCTGCCAAGACAATCGAGGAGCTACAGGCGACACCGATAACGTCAGAGCATTCTCCCACCTGGTGATCTGATCAAGCCTTACCAGGCTGTGCCCATTGATGATTAGGGCATATTCCCCAGCAACAGCCTCCAGGACAGAGGTGAGCTTGGAAGTAGAGAGTTTCCCCTGGTAAGTGAAGCCATTGCCCACAGTGCGGGACGAGTCCACCATCTTTTCCCGGGCTTTCCTGTAAAGTCAGGAATGAATTGGGTAGGCTCCAGGACAGCAGCAGGGAGGAGGAATCCAGACTGCCCAGCCCCTGGGCATAGCCCAGGGCACCTGCTTCCCTAGGGACTCTGGTTTACCTGAGCTCCTCTCGCACCTCTAAGACCGTGTGACCTGTTACTATGAACACCTCTGTCATGTCGTCAGTCAGCATCTTACAGGAGTAGCCAATGTTCACAGCTGTCTCTGCCAAGAAAGAATCAAAGAGTTATGGGCAGGCTCTTGCCAGGGTCCTCACACCCTCCCACCAGGTCGACTGGCTCCATGCAAGGGCACAACAGGACTAGTATCTACCTGCCATCATTTCTGCCCAGCTGGGCTCTCTCACCTTGCTTGTCTCCGGTTAGCACCCAAATCTTGATGTTGGCCAGAGTTAGGAGGGCAATGGTCTCTGGAACCCCCTGCTGAAGCTTGTCCTCAATGGCCGTGGCACCCAGCAGCTGAAAATACAAGGGCTTCTGACGAGAGCCATGGGCACCAGCCTGTCTTGCCCACACTTGACCTGGCCCCCTCTTACCATCATGTCACTCTCCACCTCTTCATAGATGCTGGCCAGCCTGTCTTCTCGGCTGTCCTGGGCCAGGCTGGCTTGTAGGCGTCTCCTGGCCCACTCTTCATAGTACTCTTCGTCCAAGTCCTTGTAGGCCAGCACCAGGGTCCTCAGCCCTTCCCCTGCATACTCCTGGAGGAAGAATCGGGACTGTCAGGCAAGGAAGTCTAGAGAACTAATATAGTACAGCATGAGCACTACAGTTCAAATCCGTATGAGACAAGTTAGATGTTCTTTCTTTTTTTAAATGTTTAGTATTTTAAATGTTTATTTCGGGGTTGGGGAAAGACATGAGCATGTCACAAAACACATGTGGATGTCAGAGGACAGCTTGCAGAGGTCAGTTCTCTCCTTTCACCATGTGGATTCTGGGGACTGCACTCAGGTCTTTTGGATTGGCAGCAAGCACCTTTACCTACTGAGCCATCTCACCAGTGCCTTGGTTGGTTTTTTAAGGCAGGGTCTCATGTAGCCCAGGCTTGATAGGTAGCCAAAGCTGACCTTAAAGCCTTGATCTTCCTGCTTCCAACTCCCACACGCTGGAATTATAAGTGTACAACACCAGGCCTGGCTAATTAATGTATTCTCACCACAGAAACAAGGAACTATGAGAGACCTTAAATATATCTGTCTTTCAAAACTTTAAATGGCCGGGCGTGGTGGCACACGCGTGTAGTCCCAGCACTTGGGAGGCAGAGGCAGGCGGAGCTCTGAGTTCGAGGCCAACCTATACAATGAGTTCCAGGTCAGCTGGGGCTACAGGGAGACCCTGTCTCAACAAGACCAAAAAAAAACCTTAAATGTATTCAATAAAACAAAACAACCTGAGGCTGAAGAGATGACTCAGTGGTTAAAAGCACTGGCTGAACTTACCAAGGACCCAGGTTTGGCTCCTGGCACCCAACTGGCAGCTAACCATCTGTAATTCCAGTTTCAGATGATATGATGCCCTCTTCTGGCCTCCACAGGCACTGCGTGTGCATGGTGCACTTACAGGCAAGACAAAACACTCATACATACAAAATAAATATAACAAAACATTGAAAACAACAACAAAATAAAAAAAAACAACCCACCATAAGGAAAGGACATCATGGGCTAGTGAGAGGGCTCAATGGGTAAGGGTGCTTGCTGCCAAGCCTGAAGACTGGAGTTAAAGCCCCAGAACCTAGATGGTAGAAAGAAGGAACCAGTTCCTTCAAGTTGTCCTCTGATGTGTCCACACATACATCAAACACCAAATAAATGAATAAACACACTTTCTTTTTTTTTTGGAAACAACACATGCCAACACCCAGTGCTGAAGTGGCAGAAACCCCAGGCCAACCTTCCTGTCACACCTACATTCAGGTGGTCAGTGGTGCTATTGAGCAGCTCCTGGGTAGAGTGATGGAGTCTGTCGAGCAGGATTGTGTCAGCTCCTTTACAGTAGAGTCGAATTTTCCCTTCTGGATTCCGAACTATAAATGGGACAAGAGGAGAAAATTCCAGAAAAATTCAGACAGGGACAGAACACCAAACTAAAGTTTACCAAGAGTCTATTAGCACACCATACTCATCCCAGGCCTATCTGCTGCCCCAAATCCCCCCATCTCTCCAGTACTGGCCTCACCTATGACTGACATCCGTTTACGAATGTTGTTGAAGTCCAGGATGGCCAGCAGTTGATAGGTGATGGCTGTACCCAGCTCGTGTACAGTAATTGTTTTGGGAGTACGAGAGCGGAACACAAAACCAAAGTTCCTGGCTGCAGTAACCAGAGCCCCCTCATCTGGAGACTGGGCTTTATAATACAGCTCTCCTGGGTGGGGACGGAGAACATGGTGGATAAGTGGCCACCTTCCCAGCCACCTGCCTTGCCCAGGAAGCCCCAGGTCAGCAGCATTGTAGAGCAGAGCTCAGGAACTTGAACATGAACTGGGCTAGGCCAGAGAATGAACCAGTTCCTCAACTCACCTTCATCCTTTTCTTCTGACATCACAGTGTGACAAAGAGAAAGGAGGCGGAAGAACTCATGTGTTGGGGGGTCCCCCATCTTGACAGCCTCCAAGAGACTTGGGTCCCAAAATAAGAATTTCTTGTCAGCCAGAGGATTAAAGGAGAAGTCGACAGGTTCGGGTCTCTGGAACAAGCAAGAAGGCTCAGGAAAGGCTGCGTTATCAGGCTGCATCCCAGGAAAGTGACTGTCCTGCCCTTCTACCTCTGAGAGGGAGAGCCCAAGATCCTAGCCACTGTGGGCCTCAAAATTTTAACTGAATTTTTTCTTTTCTTTTCTTTGAGATGGTCTCACTATATAGCCTGAGATGGCCTGGAACTCTCTACATAACCTAGGCTTGCCTCAAAGCTGTTATCCTCCTGCCTCTGCCCTCCCAAGTGCTGGGGGCACAGGCATGTACCACCCATCCAGCAAATTCTCCACTTTTGCTACCAGTTCTTCCTTAAAACGTCCATCCTCCAAGTACTTTCCTTTTCCTACCCAGATAACACATTACTCCTCCTATCTATGCCAGCTACTGCTGGACATGTTCCCAGCCTATATCTAACTGATACACAGAACAACATGGGGACTGGATCTTACCTCTCCCAATTCAGCTTTGTGTCCCAGGACATCAAACACGTCACCTACATACAGCCAGCCCAGAAAGAGAAGCAACATCAGAACTGGAGCTCTCCAGAGCAGTGAGGAAGCCTTGTCCAGACCCCACAGGTGTGCGGAACCCTCAGTCCTATCCATCATGTGGATACCACCCATACTCATATTATAGGCACTCAGGATGCCAGAATCCAGGATCCTGGCCACAAGGGTCATGGTGCCCATGGATTACCATCCCTACCACCTCTTAGCAGTCTCCTCCAAAGGCAGATCCAATTCTGTGCCTGCCCCTACAAGCACTCCAGGACTCCCAGGATGTCTGGCACCTTCCAGGCCCAGACAGAAGACAAAGCTTCACACACTGGCCACAGGTCTGGGTTAGTACAGAAAGCAGTTACAGAAGGACCTCACACCTGCACACACCCTGCTCCACACCATCCCAGAAGCTCAGCCACAAGGCCACTGCAACAGGGCTAAACCAGGAAGATTGTGGTTACATTCCAAAGACTCACAAGGGCCCCGAGCAGCAACATGGGCAGCAACATGGGAGTCTGTTCATTAGGCAGCCAAGGTCCAACCTGGCCAGGATACCCAGAAGCCAGTGTCTTGGGGTTCACTTCAAATAGCCTAGGCACTCCCCTGGTACAAGAGCTGAGATCAGGGCAAGGGCACCAAGGGAGAACAAGGAGGACAAGGAAAGGACTCTCAGTATGTTTCCTGGCACCAGATACAGAACACACCTTTTCAAGGCCCCTCAGACCAAGGAAGAATGAAGTAAAACCCAATGTCAAGACAACTGAGGGAGCCCAAGTTCCACTGTCCTTCCGGGCAAGAAGCAATCCCCATCTCCAGCAGCACCACCTTACCATAGCTGCGCCCATTGATGGAGCACTTGTTGAAGACCATGATGTTCTGAGTGAGGGTGCCTGTCTTGTCAGAGAAGATGTACTCCACCTGGCCCAGTTCTTCATTCAAGGTGGTGGTACGGGCCTCTGCGGGCGTCCGCTTCTTCATGCAGAACATCTTCTTGTCCCAGTTGATAAAGTAGCTGTGGCCCAGACGGATGACCTCCACACTGCACAGGGGACAGGAGGTGAGGCTAGGGGAGCAGGGAGGGGAGGAAATGCTCCACCTACATGGATCTTGGCTGCAGGCTTTTGGCCTGGGGAGAAACGGGAATGGAGAAGACACCTGGGCACAGGAACCTGGGTGGGAAGGGGCAAGGGGTGTCTGCAGGTGGAGCTGACCATGTACAGCTGACAAAGGAACTCCCCAACCCAACCCTCCTGATGCTCTCCAGACAAAAAGGTGCAAAGGGTCTGGGCAGGCAGGACAGACAGCACAGGCAGAGGAGGAAGAGGGACTGCAGACAAGGCACTCAGCCAGTTCTTACCTCAGCACTAAGTACAGAAACCATGCAGAGAAAAACAAGAGACAGTGCAAGAAGGAAGGGAGAGAAAGAGAGAAATAATGAGGGACTGTGCATGCTGCAACAACACAGATGCCACCTCCAAGGGGCCACGCTGGGGAAAAAGCCCAAGAAGGCTCCACAGCCCCATCACCACTCCCTGCCCAACACAGACAGGGCCTCATGTCCACCCTGGGCCACAATGAGGGACTTCCTCTAGGAAGCAGAGGTCTGGAGAATGGGAGAGTAACAGTCACAAGGGCAGGTGCTTTCAGCACCTCCCACCCTCTTCTTTGTCAACCATTACCTTTGGGAAAGGCACTGTTAACATTCCCAGAAAGGGCCCTTGTTTGGGTCCAGGATGGCCGAGCAATGGGCCACACATCTGGAACCCTGATTCAACTTGACAGAGGCTCCTATCAGGATCCCCTGACTAGGCAAAAAAGTGAGATAGGAGTATTGTCATGCCCTTTCCCCACACAGTATATCAACCCTTCCCATCCTCCCCCAGACTCACATGCTGATGAGACTTAGAAAGAAAACTTTCTCAGGCAGCTGCCAAGAGATCAAGTGAACTTAAATACAAAGCAGGAACAGCAAAGCACAAACGTGGAAACAAAATCAGGTCATAAGCAAGAGAGCATGTAAACAGCAGCGGAAACAGTGGCGGTGAGAATGATAGACCCAGTACCCAACTGAAGAGTAATTTTTTGTTGCTATTGCTGTTGTTTTTGTTTTTTGGGACAGAGTCTCATTTTGTAGCCCAGGCTGGCCCCAAATACACGGCAGTCCTTCTGCCTCAGTCTTCCATGTGCTGTGATTACAGGCATGAGCTACCAGGCCAGACTGACATAGTAATTTAACTTTTTAATGTATTTTGAAATTCAGTACTTTATAGCAAAGGACCCCCATATGAAGAAAGGCAAACAGGTATCAAGGTTCCCGTTACACTTGGGAAAAATAGAGAAGGCCCTAAGTGACTGTGGGTTTGTCTGAGGTCATGTGGCTAACTGTAGGTAGACTAACCCTAGGACCTCTGACTCACACCCCTCCCTACCTTTTTTAGACAGGGTCTCACTATGTAGTCACCATCCTGGCCATCCCCTGGATTCTATACATGCTGCACACCACAGCCAGGAAGCATTGATAATGCAGCATGTATAGAATCCAGGGGATGAAGATGTTCATAGAATACACTCTTGGGATGCTTTCAAAAACCATTCATGTTGATTAAGCACAAGGTCCCCAGACAAAGATTCAAGATCCTCTATAATCAAAAGCAAGCTTCTGCTTCCAGACCTCTATGGTCTATGCTCCTGACCATTCCCTAACCTTTCTCAACTTCCTCTCTCTTTACTCTCATTTCCAGCCCTCTTTCTTCTCTCCTTCCCAGCTCTACCTTCACCCATTCCAGTGCAACATCCCTACCTGTGACAGAAGCCACTCCTGATAAGCAGGCTAGAGAGCAACATTCTTCCATCCCTCACACACTTAGTGCCTCCCACATTCGACCTCGGGGTCTGACACTGGTCCTAATCCCAACCCAGCCAATCTGCTACTGTGATGGCAAAGGCAACAGACACATCTTCAGTACTCCTGGTTTTACACAAAGCACTCTAGGCAGAATGACTTCTATGGCACTTGTTCCTGTTTTATGACATGTGTAGGGCTTTCTTCCTCTATCAGACTTAAGCTTTGAGAGGGAAGGAAATCCACTCAGTTCTTTGTACCTGTCAAGCTTCTTTTCCAGAACAGGCATGCAACAGCATGTGCTGAGTATATCAAGATAGTTTCCACTCTACTATAATCCTAAGTGCTAGGAATCTTTGGTAAAAGGTTTCTTTTGCACACAAAAATACACAGAGAACATAAAATGATCACAGGAAGGGGAGGACTCCTTGTTCCTCAGGGATTTCATCTTCACAGAGAAGTCTGCCAAGGAGCCATCTGGGCTCCCTAGAGACCTGAGGGTAAAGAAAGCACCTACCTGACATACAGTGAAATGGGCACAACGGTGTTGAGAATGATGATATAGGACCAGAAGGAGAGGAAGCCAGAAAAAAAGGCACTGTCCACCGCCTCATCCCAGGGCAGGTAGACCTGGAAACGTGTCCCAACTTCGTGCTCCCAGATGGCATTGCCAATGGCCAGGATCACCCCCATGCAGACCAGAAATCCAAAAATCTGCAGAGGAACGAGAAGTACAGGCTAGGCAGGACCTTAGGAAGCTCTCAGTACCAGCACATCCCCAAGAAGTTTGCTTATTGGCGAAGACCTTAGCGCTGCATCCTCATGCTTAGCAGTGTGCTCTACTAGCAGCTCAGAATTGCAGCAGGTTCTTGTCTGCTGATGACTATAGCAGTCTTCCCTCTGAACATGTTCCCATCAGTATCACGGGGAAGCTGAAATAGGTAAGCAGCTCCCAATCTGTTTGGTTTTTTTTTTGGGGGGGGGTGTCTTTTTGAGACAGGGTCTCTCTGTAGCTCCAGCTGGCCTAGAATTCACTATGTAGACCAGGCTATCCTTGAACTCACAGAGATCTGCCTGCTTCTGCCTCCCAAATAAGTGCTGGGAATACAGGCTTGCACCACCACACCCAGTGCAGTTCCCAATCTGTAACTCCCAAGTGGGAAGAGTGGGGGTGAGCTACTTCTGACATATTTAAAAAGTTTACTGTGAATTAACTATTTACCTGTACTGGCCCAGACAAGCTCACAGAAATGCCATTATACACTAATTAAAGCCATATATAAACTGCCTTTTTTTTCTATTAGGGGATTGAACCCAGGGCCTTCTACACACTGCCCAATCTACCACCAAGTTATAGCCCCAAGCCTTTTTCACTTTTTTCCCCCAGATAGGGTCTCACTATGTAACCCTGGCTGGCCTGGAACTCACTATGTAGACCTGGCTGGACTCAAACTCACAAAGATCCACCTGCCTCTGCCTCCCAAGTTCTGGGATTAAAGGCGCTGCCCACCACACCATGCTCATCACTTTTTTGTTTTGAGACAAAATCTCCCTATGTAATCCAGGCTGTTTTCAAACCTGTGGCAATCCTCCTGACTCAGCCTTCCAAATGCTTGGATTACAGGTGTGAATCACTATGTCTGGCTTGGGAAGCTCTAGAGTTCAAGGCCAATCTAGGCTACAGATCAAGATCCTGTCTGAGAAAGTAAGAGGAGAGTAGTAGTACATACAGCGAGGGAGGAAGGCGGAGTATAGTACAGACCACTGCCTAGCTTCCAACAGCTACTTCCAAAGCTGTCCCCAATGCTGAGACTTTAAAAAGCGGACGCCAGGCTGCCCAATGGCCACCAGGGGGCGAAGGGAGTCTTTGTGTGAGAACAACCTCACTCTTTCAGCCTGAGTTTCTATGAACCTTTTTAAAACCAAGATGGCGTGTGGGGGGCAGGCAGCTGGCAGAAGGGGAACAAGAGGGGAAGGGAAACTCAACAAGGAAGTCCGATTCTAGCCAAACAAGGGAAGGATTCAGGAATTGCCAAAAATGAGCACAGAAACTTTCCCCCTTGGGATCCCTTCATCCTTAGCAGTCAAGGGAAAGACCTTGCTAAACATCTTCCCAGTGGAAAGCTTTTTTAAATTCTCTCTCCAACTCCATGAAGGCCTCCTTGTCCCTGGAAAAAGCTAACAGAAGGTCACATGCTACACTAAGTTACCATGATACCTGGGGCTCACAGAAACGGTGGCTTATTTTAGCATTCTTTACGTTGTTGATTCACATACGTTCCTAAAGCTCTTTAAAATAACATCTTCTGAGTCTAAAAGGAGTCTGAAATCAGCGCTGGCCTTGAGCAGCCAACCTGCCAGAGGTTCAGAGCAAAGCCGAAGCCTGACTGCTGCCCAGTAAAGAGTTGGCGGGGAGATCAGGAGACCACAGGAAGGTGGAAACAGCCCAGGACGCTTACCCAGAGCACCAGTGTATTCATTAGGCGATCAATACTTGTTCTTTTGAACTTCGTCCTGCCACTGTTCTGCATCAGCTTAGTGTCAGGACCTAGAAAAGAATAGGAAGCCAAATAAGAAACCCGAGTGTAGTTTTCTACACTCATCTCTAGACCGAAGACATCAGGGCAGAAGGGAAGCAGTAGGGGGATAAGAGGACTGTATTCAGGGATGAGGGTTTTCTACCTCATGAAGTTACCAACCCAGTGAGTTCTGTTTCCCATCTCTGAGGAAGAACTGCATCACTGACCCTTGCCCTTTGGATGCTACAAGGCTCACCTGCAAAGATGACGAGCCCAAAGCACCACTCGGTGTTTCGAAGCACGCAGCCGCGGAGCAGCATGTTCTGGTTGCTCAGGGGGAACTTGTTTTCCTTCCAGTAGAGTGTTCCGCTGAATTTGTCCAGCTTGTTGTTGGGAGGTTCACAGATTACTTCACCTGAATGGGAGACAAGAGTGCCACTGTTCAAGGTCCAATCACATGTGACAATAAAACAGAAAGAAATGGTAGCTATAGGGCTGGACAGATGGTTTAGCAGTTTAGAGTGTTTGCTGCTTTTGCAGAGAACCCAAGTTTGGTTCCCAGCATCCATATTAGGCAGCTCACAACCACCTATAACTCCAGGTCTAGGGGATCCAATACCCTTTTCTGGTCTCCTTGAGCACCCTCACACACATGGCAGACATACACATATACACATAAATAAAAATAAATCTTAAAAAAAATAAGGAGCTGGAGAGATGGCTCAGTGGTTAAGAGCATTTGCTGTTCTTGCAGAGGACTGGGATTTGGTTCCCAGCATCCACATGGGGACTAAAAACCATCATTAACTTTAGTTCCAGGGAATCCAATGCCCTCTTCTGGCCTCCAGCAGTTTTGCACAAATGTGGTATACCTATATACACGCAGGCAAAATACTCATACACATAACAATATGAGTGTATTGTCTGCATGTAAGTGTATGTAACTACATCCATGTCATGCAATGCCCACAGAAGTCAGAGGAGGACATTGGATTCCTGGAACTGCAGTTATGGACTGTTGTTAGGCTCCGTGTGAGTGTTGGGAAATTGAACCTGGGTCCTCTGCAAGAGCAGCCGGTGCTCTTAACCACTGAGACATCTCTCCAGCTACCAAAGTAACTATTTTTAAAATTAAAAAAAATACTGTCTAGGCACGATGGTGCTCACTTTTAATTCCAGCACACAGGAGGCAGAGACAGATGTAACTCTAAGTGCAAGGCCAGCCTAGTCTATATAGAAAGTTCCAGGCCAGTCAGAGTTACGCAGAGAGACCATCTCAAAAAAAACAAAATTTTAAATAATAAAACTAAAATTTTTTTTAATGGCAAATCATATCCATTCTTTTTTTTTTAATATTTTATTATTTTTATTTTATGTGTAGGAGTGTATTGCCTGTGTGTATATGAATGCACCCGGGTCGTGCGACGCTGCTGACGTCAGAAGAGGGCTTCGGATTCCCCTGGAACCAGAGTTAAAGACAGTTCGTAGCTGCCATGTGGGTGCTAGGAATCGAACCCAGGTCCTCTGAAAGAGCAGTCGGTGCTCTTAACTGCTGAGCCATCTCTCCAGCCCCAAAACTAAAATTTTTGAAATAGAAAAAAATAGATCATTTGAGAAAGAGAAGGTATAGCCAGGTGTGGTAGCTCACTCCTTTAATCCCAGCACTTGGGAGGCAGAGACAGGCAGAACTCTGAGATTGAGGCCAGCTTGGTCTACAAAGTGAGATCCAGGCAAGCTGGGACTACAGGGAGATCCTGTCTCAAAAAAACAAAATAAATAAATATTTTACAATCTCAGGGCCTGCACAGGCTCTGTACATAGTAGGTCCTCAGAAAATGTGTGTTGACTGACTTAAAGAGGTGCTACCCAGAAGGAGATTGAAAGACCAGAACTCTAGGCGGGTCATTTATTTGGGATTCTGGGATGTGACAGGTGGTACAGTCTAGGCCGCTGTGTGCAGTATATTCGTGAGCAGTTATCACCAGGGCTTCCTGACATCAGTTCAGGGGCACCTCAGGTTACATAACATTCAAGTCAAAAATCTTGACCCATGGCAGTTCTAAGTGGAACTTTTTAAAAATATTTTATTATTTTTATTTTATGTGTATGAGTGCAATGCTGCACACACTGCATACATGGTGTGTAAGTGCACCTGTGTCGTGCAATGGCCTCCGAGGTCAGAAGAGGGCATCAGATCTCCTGGACTTGGAGTTAGGATGGTTGTTAGCTGCCATGTGGGTGCTGGGAATCGAACCCAGGTCTTCTACAAGAGCAGTCAGTGTTCTTAACTGCTGATTAATTAAAATAAAAAAAGAATAAGGCACTGAAACCCTGGGTTCAATATCCAACACCATATAACCTGAGCTTAGCAATGCCCATCTATAACCAGCACAACTCTGAAAGGTGGAAGAGGATCAGGAGTTCAAGGTCATCTTCCACTACCTTGCCCGGAAGAAAAAGGGCAGAGTGGCACGAACTATTAAAACATACATACTCAAGCTGGGGATGTAGCTCAGTGGAAGAACACTTCCACAGGTCTTGGTTTCATTCCTAACACTACACAAAATGCACATGTACTTGGACCCAAATACTGTGTATGTGTAGTGTTTGCTACAAGCATATATTCATGCATATGCATGTGGAAGCCAGAGGTCAACACGTGATCACGGGGGGTTTTTTTTGTTTTTTTTTTTCTTTTTTATTCAGACAGGATTTCCCCCTGTAACCCCAGCTGGCCTGGAACTTGCTATGTAGACCAAGCTGGCCTCAATCTCACAGAGATCTGCCTACCTCTGCCTCTGGAGTATTGGGATTAAAGGTGTGCACCACCAGGCCTGGCTCACTTTTTTTTCTGTTGGTTTTTTTGTTTTTTGAGACAGGGTCTCCCTATAGCCCTACCTGGCCTGGAACTTGCTATGTAGACCAGGCTGGCCTTGAACTCAAAGAGATCCGCCTGCCTCTGCCTCCTGAGTGCTGGGATTAAAGGCATGTGCCAACACGCACGGCCTGGTTCACCTTTTTAAAAACTATTTTATTTATTTGTGTGTATGTGTGTGTGCACCCACATGCCTATGTGCAGACACACATTTGCCAAGATGCGCATGTGAAGGTCAGAGTACTACTTGCAGGAGTAGTTCTTTTCTTCTACCATGTGGGTCCCAGGGATCCAACTCAAGTTAGACTTGGTAGCAGTCTTTACCCACTGAGCCATCTCACCAGCCTTAACCTTATTTTTGGAGTCAGGGTCTCTTACTGAACCTATATTTCACTGATTGGCAATCCCCAAGCCTCTACCTTCCAGCACTGGGAGCACAGCTTTTCACATGAGTGCTGAGGAACTGAGCTTAAGTCCTCATGCTTGCACAAGGACTTTATTAACTGATGCATCTCTTCAGCTTCCAAACATCACAGTTTTGAGACTATTCTACACACACAACAGCTTAGGTCACAACACTTTTTACTGAAGCACTACTGGAACGAAAGACTGAATGGCCAGGGAGTAGCTGAGTAAATTACAATGGCAAGTCTATGAAATAGTGATCAATTACTAAAGAAGATAAAGCAAATGTCTTTATATGGTGATAAGATACTTATGATGTATTTATTTAATGAGAAAAAACTTGGGTTGCTGAGATTTTAATAAGATCACGCCTATTCGGGGTTATACGTTTGTAGGTGAGCAGCCAGCTAACGTGGCTACCAATGAGGGCAGAACCAGAAGGCAAGGCAGATTACTAACTTCATATACATCTGTGTAGGATGATGTCATACAGAGCAAACACCAGTTCTGAGTTGAGAAGCAAGGGAATGTACTGAATTTCTCTCCACATGTTATCAACCACAAAGTCCCTTTGAAATGACCATCAGTTGGCAAGTAATACCACCTGGCATTCCATAACTATTCCTCCCCAAAATGTCCAGAGAGCTGCAAAATCACAGCAACCAGAAGCCAAAAGAACTCAACCCCAACCCACCTCTTCTACCAAAGCCTGCACCAGGATCACTCACCATCAAACTTGGCAAGCTTACTGATATCCCCCAGTTCTGAGGTGACTGGAATCGCCTGACGCACTTTCATGTTGGTCTCTCTGGAAGAACAATACCTTTGAGTCCTGGCTCTGCTCCCCTTCCACCCCAGCTGCTGGAAGTGCCCTAGGGGCACCTGACCCCACTGCTTAGCCGAGCAAAATTTCTACAGAGTTAGAGCCTTTTGTACCCCTAAATTTTCTAAAGAGTATGGATCCTAGATCTGGGAACCTCTTTCAGAAACAATCTCTTACCCCTCAGGAGAGATCTGTCACTTACCCATCCAGTTCTGCTGTCTCTATGTAACAAAGCCCATGGGGCTCACTGCTGGAAAGGAGGAGGAGATCCGCCTAGAGAGAAAACCTGATAAGAACTGCAAATACTGCCCGCCCGCGCCTTTAGTTCCAGCAGAGGCAGAGGCAGAGGCAGAGGCGGGCGGATCTCTGTGAGTTCAAGGCCAGCCTGGTCTACAGAGTGAGTTCCAGGCCAGGGAGAACTCCAAATACACAGACTTCCACCCCTGGTGGAAGGTTTCTTTTGTTTTGTTTTGTTTTTTGTTTTTCAGATTCCAAGCACAGGAAAGACTAGTCCTAGCCATGTTAAAAGGACACAGAAGCTAGTCACCCACAATCTCCTTCCATGGCTGTTAAGAAGCAACAGGCAATCAGGAAGAATTGTCCCCTTCTACCAAAGAGGAAGAATAACCCTGCAGACTGGAAAGGCACTTTGTCTCTTACCGCCACAAACTGGTTATTTTCTAACTTGATAATATCACCAACACAGACATTCATCCATTGCTCTTGCTGGAGGCTGTGGCAATGACAGTAAAGAGGCTACCTGTAACCACAAAGGTTCCTGTGGGAATCCCCCTTCCTCCCCAGAGCCCTTATCTCCAACAGGCACTCACATTCCATTGATGAGCACCTGAGACTGCCGGTTATTCACCTGGTTATCACTCTTGTGGCGGAACTGAAAGAGAACTAAGGAAAGTTAAGATACCTTCTCTTGCCTAGAGAGAATCATCAGTGGAACCCAGAGGATCCTGGTGACATTTTCCATATATCTGCTTGCAGACCCACTCTCTCTCTGTTGCCTTTCCCAACTCTCAGGCTAGGTGTTATGAATCTAGCTGAATCATAGGGATGTAAGGGATGTATGTCAAGGTCACCAAGGAATTGTGTGGATGAAAGTAGCTGTGAATGGGGGGAGGTGAAAGGTGATGGGGGTTGAAGAAGAAGAGCAACTCACATAGTCATCTGTGGCATCTTTAACAGCTGTGATGGTAAGGACAAGAACCAAAGGCACAATGGTGGTGAACCAGGACAGGGAAGAGATCTGTGGGATCAACTGAAAAAAGAAAAAGAGAACATGCCTTGGAGCCCCATCTGGTGCCTGTTTGCCCCTCATCTTTCCTTTCTTTGGCTTTATTCAGCTTTGTGAGTTACAAAGGATGTAAAAGAGGTCACTCACCTGCAGGATGAGAAGGAACAGGAAGTAGGTGTTGGCAACTTCCTGGAACTGCTCAAAGAGGTTGACAGGCAGGAAGGTGAGAATATTGTATTTGGAGGTCTTGATGCAGTTACTCTGCAGCAATGGGAGAAAAGGTAATGAGGTACTCCCTCGCTCCAAACTAGAACCAGGCTGAGCTGCCTCCTCCATCTACATTCCTCTCTGAGCCTCTGCCCTGAAGCCAGCAACCACAGGTGTGGGAATGGGCAGAGGAGCAGAGAAGGGAATCTCGACAGGCCACTTCACTGACAGCAGATGGAGTAGCCAAGGGAGCTTCCCAGCCTCCCCGGAGCACCCTTCCCAGTCAGTCATCAGCCTCAGCCTCAGACGTTCCAGTACTTTCCCCCTCTCCAACTCAAGAAGAGGGAACAAGTGGCCAGCGTCACTTACCGCATACTGGAATTTCTCATTGTACTCTCGGTCATTAGCCCGTGCCCTCCGCTCTTCTTCTGCAATGGAACGATACTGCAGTCAGAAGCAGCAAACTGAGTCAAGCCAATTCAACCTCTGTGAGGGTTCCATGAAGGATCCCACTTCTTTCCACAGAATACGGCTTTGTGGAGTTAGCTCCAGACCTGAGGTGTTATTAAATTCTTTGCTCTAGAGCACTGCTCACATGGCCTCCTTGCCGGCCACATCGCCTCACCACCACTGGTTTTTTTTTGTTTTTTTTTTTTAACAAAGTTTCACTATGTATTGCAGGCTGGCCACAGTCCTGGGCCTCCAAGTGCTGGGACTACAAGCCCTTGCTACCACTCTTGAGCAGGTTACATTCACAACACAGGGCAATTTCTCTTTTCCTAACCAACCACTGTCAAGGTTTTCCACTGGGAACAGTTAGCTCCTCTCCCCTGCAGTTCTGGAGGAGGCTTCACCATTAAGGTCAGGAGTGTTCCCAGACCCTTCTGCTGCTGTTATTGAGATTATCTGTCATCATAATCAAGTGGCTACAGGCCTGAAACTCCCTTCCTGTGGACACCCCTGCAAACCTAGACATGGCACTGTTCTCTTCCTAATCTGGGAAGGAACATGATGGGTGACAAGACAGAAGGGTCACAGTGCCCTGGAGCTGCTCTGCGACAGCATCCCAAGCCCACGTGCACTTCCCCAACAGGAGCCTCTTCTTGTCACATGTGACCAGAAGCAGCTTCTGACTGGCGGACAATGACATCACCCTATTGCAAGCTCATCCTTAAGTGTGGGGGTGTGTGTGTCAGAGATGTGGGTCATGCAGACTGAGCAGAAATGGAGAATAAGATGCAACAGTAACCTTTCTTGTGTCATTTGCAAATATGTCCTATAAACAGTTCATCTGTCATTACTTATTTAGCTGCATCTACCCGGAACCCCACAGACCCAAGACCGCAGGCGCCAAGTTCAGGGTCCCCTAACCCATTTCCCAGGGTCAGTATTACCTCAGACTTAAAAGAGTAACTTGGTTACAGAGCAAGCCTACTGAGAATCAAAGGCAGTACTCCAGATCTCTTTTCCCCAAGCACACTGCAGTAACAAAACCCCAGGACACAGAGTCCCCAGACAAATGAACCACTTTACTCCCAGAAACTTCCCCAGGGGGCCCTAATCTCCAAAAACCATGCAAAGGAAGGCAGCTGGATGAAGGTCGCAAAGGAGGGTCGTAAAGAGAATGGAGAGGAGGGGAAGCCAAAGACAGGAATGTGGGGCCACAGGACAGGGGAATATGGGGGCCACAGGGGGAAAAATCACCGGCATGGAAGAGGTGCCAGGCGCTGCCACGGATTACCTGTCCCCCAAGAGGGCTTCTTCTGGCTCCAAGAGGGAGGCGCCCCGGCCCGAGCCCACTTCTCGGGCATCTCCTTGGGGACCGTCATGATCCCCCTTTAAGTAGAAGGCGCACTATCTGTTCTCAGCCTCAGCGGCACCGATGGGACGGCCCCCCAGGAAGGCGCAAGAGCTGCGGCCACTCAGAGGGGAGCCCCGGCCGCTGGGCGCGCGCGCCACCGGCAGCCCAAGTCATCCTCACCGCCACCTGCGCCCCAGGACCACAGCTGCGAGGGACCTCGGCTCAGGCCCACAGCCCGGGGTGCTGAGGTCCAGGACACAGCGCACACACTCTGGGCTCCGCCCCCGCCCGCTCCCTCTGCAGGGCAGCAGCCTGCCAGCGCTGCGTAGGCGAAAGCAAACGCGGCCCCGCCCCCTCCCTCAGCCAATGCTGGAGAGCCGAATGCCCGCGTTGTCGGGGGCAACGGATTTCATACCTCCCCTCCCCCTTCCGCGGGAAACGCGGAGGACCAGTGTGGGTGGGCAAAAGAGGTCAAGAGATCAGGCGCTACCCGGCCAGAGTAGGGGCTGCAGGTGTTCCAAGTGATATGTGTACAATGCTTCAGGACGTAGGCTGGCATTACCGGCCAAGGATGAAAGAAAAAATTCCGCTTCCTAGGCTACCTCTAGGATGCCTAAGGGCTTGATCTCTCTCAGAGCTATACCAAAGGTCGCTCTTCCCTCAGCTCCCTAAGTTATAATAACACCCGCTTTCCATGGTCCCGAGGATCCCCATTCCTTGCCTTTCTTACCTGGGGGGCGCTTTTTTGCACACAGTGCCATCTCACCCAGCAAGGTCCCAGCAATCCCATGGGAGACCCTGCGGGAAGGTGACAGACACGTGGTCAGGAAGTCTTCATTGCCCGCACCAGACCCTTTCTGAATATTCTCCCAGCTCTGACCCTGCCCTACCCACCACCTCCAACTCCACTAAAGCTCTCTTCTGCCCTGTAATGGGTACGAGAGAGAAAAGCTCTTCCCCTGTCCTGGATAAACATGGGGGAACTGGGAATTTACAGGAGCCAAGGCCTACAGAAAAGGATCCAGAAGAGATCAGATAAAGTTCTCAAGGTATCCATCTCAGGGACAATAGATTCCTCCTTCGTGTTCTGGTGGCAACGACTGGTACCTGTGTTCCTCCGGGTGATGAGTGCTGCAGGTACTAGAAAGCAGAATCCACTGCCCCCCCCCGCACCCCCCGCAAGGGTGGAGTTGATTGAGCCAGGAAACACCTGGCAGGGCATCAGGAAACAAGGTGGGCATGCTCCACCCTTCTAGAAATGCTTGTTTCCTCACCCCCACTCTCATAACCGGGACTTCCATTATCACCTTCTCCCCAGAGGGGCCCATGTCAGAGGCCTTCACTTCCTCCCCAAACCACTTCCTCTCAGTATGGGCCAACCACCCTTTGGGGCCATCAGAGTGGTCTTCCTGACTTTGCAGAGGGGTCATCTGTCTTTTCTACCCCAGGTCCAGTCTGGTCAGTCTGACACTGGGTGCAGGTTCAGGGAATCTCTGCTTTCTACCTCCCCATGTCCTTTCTCCTAAAAAGGTGTGAAGCTTGGCCTACAGGACTGGCTCCTAAGGGCCTCTACCCCATTCCCCAAGCCTGGCCTAAGGAAACTGCCAGCCAATCACCTCCTCTTCCTTTGGTTGGAATGCCTTCCACCTCCTCCTTGGTTCCCCTGCCTCCAGTCTGTCAGGCCCAAGAGACACTAATTGCCTGTCTGCCCAATCTCTGTAATTACAGACTCTGGCCCCAGCCCAGTCACCCACACCAATTCTCTCTTCACTGACACAGACTCCCTCTTTGACCTCAGATCAGACAATCCTGAGAGGCCGAAGTCCTTTTCACTCCTGACCCTCCACCACTGTGGCAAGGGTGTTGCCCCCTTGGCTCAGGAAGAAAACCTCATGCACATTTTAGAGATGCCAAGCCCTCCTCCAGGGCCCCCAGCCAGGGTCTCCACCCAGTCTAGAGTATGAGTCATGGGAGGGTGCGGTGTGGAGCAAGAGGTTAAAGGAGTAGATGCAGGGTCGGCATCACTGGTTCCTTCCCAGCTCCACCCCAGTATGAGGCTGTCAAGAACCCTTAAGATCTGGGTCTTCCTCCTTTGAAAGAGTTAATGGTGGAGCTTGCTGGCCATCGAGAGTCAAGTCTGGACCAGGAAAGTTATTTTACCTCTAAGACCCTGGGGAGACTGAAAGCAAGCTCAGTTCCAACCCCCTGGAGGGGGTGCAATAATAAAAAAGGGCTGGCAAGAGAGCCCCCCTCTCAAGAACCCCGTCTGAGTCTGGCAGATGCTGCGTTTTCTGAACAGGTCAGGCCCATCAGCCACGTCGCCTTGCCCCGTCACCCTACCCCAACCCCCTTTGCAGCCACATCTGGGATAAAAATAGCCAGCCCTGGGAAGGAGGCAACGCTCCACGGAGGAAAACGGCTCCTCCTTTAGGTCTGGCCTCTGCTCCTTTCCAACCAAGACTCCTTTCAGAGGAAGCTAGGATGTCAGCGAAACAGAGGAAACAGGATCCAAGCCCACAAGCCCACCACCACCCCCCTGGGCCACTCTCCTTAGAGGACAGCATCCAGGACCCACTGCCCAGCTCTGAACTCCCAAAGCTAACACCCTTTGGCACCCTTGGTTTTCCTCTGGCACGAACACCCCCCTCCCGGGGACACATCCTACCAGTACCTAAACTCCTGTTCGGGGTTACTCCTCTCACCCCAACTCTCCGGGCACCTCGGCGCCCCCGGATCTCCCGTGAGCTCCGCGCTCCTGCTCTCCACGCGCCGGTCGGGCACCCCACGCTCCCAGCCTGCGGACCGTGCCGCGGCCTCCCCATCCTCGGGCACCTCGACAGCCAGTGCTCGCCTGCCTCCCACACCCCCTTCCCGGTTTCACGGCAGCCGGGGCTCCAGGTGCACACCCCCGCCTGGCCCGCCCGGGAGCGGAGCCCAGCACATCTCAGTGGCCTCACCTCAGCGCGCGGCGCGCGGCGCCCGGCCCGGCGGCCCCGTCCTGCCCATGCCGGGGGCTGGGGCGGGGGGCGC